GATGCACCGGAAATGGAATCCATTGTCATCATTTGTTTATTTATTTAAATTTTTTTTAGCATCATCAGCTTGCTTTTAAAAAAGAAATGGTTGCCGCCGTTGACGCTACTCACATGTTGGTGTTGGCGGTGGATGTTAGCCAATCGGCTGCCAGTCCGACCATGTCTAATCCCGTGGAGAGCTGATTGAAGTACCTGGGGTGGGCTGGAGGGAGGGAGGGGAGGGATGGAGGAGCAGAAAAGGGAGGGGAAAATGTTTTATTTTAGGGCTCAGTTCAGGAAAACTCAACTAAATTTCTGCAGAAAGATAAAAAAAACCTGTCATTTTCGAAAGGCTTTAATTGCAGAGCAGACATAAGATGCAACAATGCTCAGCATCTTCCAACACTCTAAAAATGAAATGTTGGATTGACTTAACCATGTTATGAGACCTGGTTCCACGTAACTGAGTTGAGTAAATTCAAAGCAACATACTCRTGTTCTTTGTTTTAAAAACTGGTATACTGCTTTGAATTTACTCATCTCAGTTAAGTGGAACCAGGTCACATAACACGGTTAAGTAAATCCAACATTTCATTTTTTACAGTGAAGGCGGAAAACATTTGGTGGTGCAGTGGGTGGTGTTTGGGGATTTAAACACACCCAGAATTTGCACCATCTTGAATGTTTTTTTTTAAATTATTATTTTAAATGGAAAGGAAAGCTATATTTACTGAGGATCTGCTGCATCTAAAATGTGTTTTAAAGCTTTTATAAAATAAGAAATAAAATGTCAGGCTAGTTTTTATGTTTGATTCAAGAGCCTCTAAATTCTCTCCGATGCTCTTTTTTTTCTTTCTGTAATTTTCCTGCAACGTGTCACTCTGCAGAGAATAATGGACTTGGCCCATGARGGCTGATTATTAGCCTATTATGTGCCGCCTGCTGAAGCTGATTTACTGCACCGCTGCCTTTATCGGTCTGGTGGCCATGCAGGAGGAGGAGGACAGCTTGCGTTGTTGATGCTCTTTTATCATCATGTTTTATTATATCGGCGCARAATATGGGCCTTGTTTTATTCTCCTTTTAAGCTTTACTTTGTTTCAAAATAAAAATAAAATCAAATAAAATGAATCAAAACGTTAGTTATTTGTTGTACTTTTTTACGCATTAGATTTTCACCCATGCAGACAAGCGTACTATTATTTGTTGCATTTATTTTACGCARTCCGACATGCACCTACCAGTTTTGATGGCGTATTTGAGAGTGGCGCGGCAGCTGATCAAGACATCATCCAGGGTGGCCGGCTCGTCCTGCAGCTCCCAGTTGTTCATCTGCAGCAGCTCGTTGGGATAATGGAAATCAATGACTTTCGTTTCCCGGTCGAAGGACTCCACTATGTAGGCCAGCAAGATGTCCACCACCTCCTGCAGGAAGGTCATCGTTTTGGTGTCACCGTCCGAGGCAGGTAACAGGTCTGATGGCATTAAAAATGAGATCTTTAAAAGGATTTAGAGGAATGTTTAAATAGGTTGTTTTTGTTCAAACGTTGCGAGCCTCTCCTATTAATTCATAACATTTATATTTTTTATAGTTAAAAAAACAGCTGATTTATTTTATATTTGTAATTGATATTTTTAGCACGTTCCCAGAGGATCTTTGAAGGTCACCTCTAAGAAAAAAAAGGTGAAAAAAATGCGCAGCTCGAATTTTGATGCAAATAAACAGATATTATCTCTGTTTTTAATTTTTTTTATTTAAAAATAAACTAAATTATTTGTCATCTTAATGATCATTCAAGATAGTGG